CCCCAAACTCAGCAACAAACAGTTAATCTTGGGGGCTCGATTCGCGGGCTATAGAAGCATCTATCAGCCACGTCTAAGACCGGCGGTGGTAAACAGCTGTCTTATAGGATCCTACTCCCTCCCTGGGCGAGTCCGGATCAGGCTGCTAGCGTTTCTGCTCCTCTTCCCGACGGTAAGTGGGGCGGATTCGTCGACTGCGAAACGCCCGCGTAGTACATCTCCCGCTCCTAGCACCGGATCCTCCCGTCCCCATAAGCAGGCCCGAGCTTCCCCGAAAGCCAAGCCCAAAACGACTCCGGTTTCTAAATCGGCTCCGCAAGCGGGATCCACTTCTTTGTCCAAGGCAGGGTCTACACCCGCGCCCAAGACTTCCGTTTCTCCCTCGAAGTCAGGTGCCGGATCCAAGTCTGGATCCACCGCTAGATCCAAGTCTACCTCGGCGTCCAAGACTGGACCCGTTGCTACGTCCAAAACGGGATCGACGGTGTCCAAACCGGGATCGACGTCCAAGACGGGATCCACCGCTGCTGCGTCAAATTCTGGATCCGGACCCAAGACTGGGTCTACGGCGTCCAAGGCTGGATCCGTTGCCCCATCCAAAACAGGATCAGCGGTGTCCAAGTCCGGATCGACGGCCAAAACGGGATCTACGGCAGTATCAAAATCGGGATCGGCGTCCAAGACGGGATCCACCGCTGGTCCTTCGGTAACGACGCCCATCGTTCCTCAGTCCGCTTCCACCAACCCTCCGCCGGCCCGTACTGGACCCGGGAAGGGGAAAGCTAAACGCGTCATTCCCCCTGGGTGTGGACTGGGTAGTTCGGAGGACGATGAGGATGAGGAATCTGACTGGTCCGACGGCTCAGGGCCTCCTAACCGATCGTCGTCAAAGCGTACGCCGTCTGCCGGCCTGTATCCCTTCACTCTAAGCGATGAGGACGCTGACGACGACGACGATGACGACGAGAGTCCAGAGGATTCAGAGGAGGCTCGAACCGCTGAGGAGGCCTTGGAGGAAGACA